AATCAATCACAGCGTTGGTGAACCCGGTGCAAACAATAATAACAGTCATGTTAATTTTTATTTGCAATTACCAGTTAAACATGGTCGTGGAAGACCCAAAAAGGTTCAATTTCTAAACGGTAATGGTGTTGAAATTAATTCTGGTACTAATGAACCTGATGCCAACAACAATAATAGTGATACTATTGATAGTTTACAATCATTAGTTAAACGTGGTCGCGGAAGACCCAAAAAACATCAGGATCTAAATGGTATTAACAGTGATACTAATACTCATTTGTTATCATCAGTTAAACGTCGCGGAAGACCAAAAAAAGAGATTTTCAATGGTAAAGATGCTGAAATCAATCCCAGTATTAGTGAACCTGGTGCAAACAACGATAATAATGATGATAATGCTTATTTACAATCATCAGTTAAGCGTAGTCGTGGAAGACCCAAAAAAGTACAGTTTCTAAATGGTAATGGTATTGAAACCAATCCTGGTGTTGACGAATCTGGCGTAAACAACAACAATAGTGATACTAATGGTAGTTTACAGTCATTAGTTAAACGTGGTCGTGGAAGACCCAAAAACACCAGGATCTAAATAGTAAAAGTATTGAAACCCATCTCAGCACTGACGATGACGCAAACAATAATAATAGTTATAGTAATAATGTTAATATAAATGGTTATGGTGATGATAACAATAATAATTTATCATCGTCGGTTAAACGTGGTCGTGGAAGGCCTAAAAGGGTTCAAGATAAAAATAATACTGTCCCTACAGGAAATGGAAATAGGGTTGGAGTAAGTAAAAAACGTAAAAGGGGCAGACCAAAGAAAATTGATAAAATCAATAAAAAAATTCAATCCAGTAGAAGTTATGGTGATAGTGGTGATGCAGATGCAGATACGAATGATGATGATGGTTATGATAATGATAATGAAGAAAAGGGCGAAAAACAAAAAAAAGCTAAAGTACATAGAAGTAATAGACAAATAAAGAATAAAAGTGCAGATAATAATCAATCACATCAATCTAACATTCCTAATAAAAAACCTGGGCTTGGTAGACCAAGACATCAAGATAAACTTGAAAATAATCATGAAGAAGAATCCAAAAAATATAATATCATTAAACGTGGCCGGGGTAGGCCAAGTAATAATAATGTCATATCACACACATCACAAGATCATAATAAATTAATTACAGCTTTGGAGAATATAGATAAAAATCTAAAAATTGATTTTTCAGATCAAGTTGAAGTTCCAGTAAAACGTGGTCGTGGTAGACCAAAGAGAATTGGTGAAGAAATCAATAACCCTGCTGCTCAAAGTTCCAAGAAACGTAAATTGAATAACACAGATGGTGTGGTAAAAAGATATAGGAAAAATGATCAACAACAATAATAATAATAATAAAACAAATTCTTTTAATGAAATATCATTTGTTAGATTAGAAATTCATTTATACAAAAAAAATTTAATTAGTGGTGGGAAAATTGAAGTTTTATAATTTTTTTTAATAATAATAATAACATAACAATTCAAAAATAGCAAATAAAAAATATTCTCTTGAAAAAATAAGATTTCTAATTACATGCTCTTTTTAAAAAGAATTAATATAATTACGGCGTTTTTTTTGGTTTAATTTTTTCTACTTGCCGATGTTTGTTACCATTATCTTTAGATTTAGACTGTTTATCAAGAATTCATTAGTGTTAGTATTAGTACAATCATCGTCGTCATCATCAATATTAACTATTTATCCAAAATGGTTCTCCAAGATTTTCCCCTTTACCTGACCAATTGACTTCTTATTTTCATCTAAAAGACACTTAGCTGACCAAAAATCCATTTTTGCTTATTGTACCTTGTGTGATTAACATTGCGGCGAAAAAGAAGGAGGGGCTGAAGGTCAGCAGCTAGAATGATTGATGCTCCAGATAGAACAATGTTTACAGCTGCATTGGTATCCCTTCCTCATGTTGTATACTTTATCCTTCTTGCTGGCATCGGGAATATACTAAATCAATGACTTGCGCATAAAGATTATTTGAGGAATCCTCATTTTTGCATTTCCCATCAAACAAATATTTAAAGTGTTCTTTGTAATGAATTTTGTCCTCTCTTAAAATTATTGATATTAAAATTGGTATCCACCTTTCAGGTAAAGTTTTCCGCACAGTAAAAACATGAAAAGTTGGTTTTTCTGGATTTATTTTTAATAAGGCTAATTGGGCACCCAAATCTCTTGATCTCGATCCGATCGAGCAAGCTTTTGGCGGAAGATTAAAAAAACTTGGAAACTCATCACGAAAATGCTCAAGAGTTGTTGATCGTTTTGCAAGAGGAATGATCAAGAAAATTCACTATATATTTTATCCGAAATCCTTTTGATTAAAATAAAAAAGTATCATCAATAATAAATCTATAATAAAAAATTGTGTCTAATAATGATTTCATTTCATATTCATATTCATTAATCTTTCGCGGGGTGAGCTTCTAAAGCCTAACCAATATTAATATCTCATATCATAATAATAAAATATTAAAAGTATACGATATTTATAAGCATAAACTCATAACAAACCTATCTTGTAGCTGTTTCAAATCATTGTTCACTCTTGAATACAAATTTAATTGTATGATGAATTCACAATTACAATCAGCCTTAACATTTACTACGGTCTCACAAAAAACGCTACCCGCAGCTCCTTCGGGGGTTTATTTATCATCAACCACGCGGCTCCTCCCTTCTACCC